ACACACACACATAAACACACAAAATCTCATATGAAAAAAAAATCTGAACGATCCATGCACCAGACACTTCAAGGTCACAACGCCTTGACTTCACTGCACAACAAAAAAACTTCACCAAACAACAACCAATAAAAAAAGCAATTAATACGTCATAGTGGTGGGGGGAGGCCGAGGAGGCCGAGAATCAGCTGTAAACAACTACTTACCAATTTCATGGTATTTTTGCCTAAAAACGTAACCATGTACTCCTTTCTACCTATTCAATTAAATCAATCATCAAAGTATAGACTCTCAAACTGGATTAAAAGACAAAAATTTCACAGAGAATGTGCCATCTGTTTTAGTTTTTAGGAAAAGTAGTTATTGACTTAAAAAAAACTTTTGTAAGGATTGAAAGGATCAGGACTCGAAAAATGTAACAGCCTATAGGAAGTTTCACATTTTTTTATAGACGTTTCATGGTTGTGTGCCAAGTTTGAATTTCGTGGCTTCAGAAATGAAAAGAAAATATTAAATTTCAACGTCCGACGTTATATCATAAACAAAGCCTTCTTGGATAGTATATATCTATAAGAGTTTTTTCTCAGAATTATCCATGAAATCACTACTAATATTTACATGACATTTAGGACCACAAGAAAGTGTTGATACAAAATATCACGAAAAAAATACTTTCGACTTACAAATTAGGTCGACTTTCTAAAGTTTCGGGTGGAAAAATTATAGTTTTTAACTTCTTATCAGCACCTCTTTATAATCTGTGAGGTACCAATCAGAGAATCGTTCAAAAACTTCACGGCAAAGTGATACTGAAAGACACAAATCTACTCCTTCACAATGCTACTTCGTTAAAAATTACCATTCAACTAGTCACATCAATCCCAGCCATAGAAATGTCATTTATTGAAAAAGGGGAAGATTATATGAAAAACCAATTTTTGGCTTTTATCACTTTTCCACCAATATATATGAATCTACAGAGTTATTGAATTGTTAATTATAGAAACGGCATTTTGTATAGATACATTTTAATCTATAGTTACTATGAAATCATAATATCAATCAGATACATCAGTAATAACTATGGTTGATTGTAAGACCGATACAATAGACTTATGGTATGAGAAATTAGATACATATGTTTTCGTATGAAAATTAGAAAGATATCTAGAGAAAACTGCATCGATTGTTGTTCCATATCTTGTGGTAGGCTTATATGTAGTTCCTAATTTATCTTGTAGGAAGTTCACCAAGAGTTGTCCATCTTCAGACGCGAAATTTACATTGAAATCTCCTACCAAAAATTAGTGGCAACGTATGCTGGTTTTCCCCTAATTCTTCAGTAATATACCTACGAAGCGTAACTCTCTCTCTTTTTCTATCTTCACTAACTCGCCTCTCAACTTCCGTTCGCCTCGTCCAATCACACTTTTCGTAACGCTCTCGACACGCATTCATCAGCTCACTCCCCAAGTCAAGCTAGCGTAAAGAAATTTTACTTCAAAAAAGGAAGAAAAAAATGAAATCTATCAATAAAACAGCATATGTTTAAAAAAATATATGATATGTTTTTGTAATCCTAAGGCCATTTATTGTATTTTATGAGAATTAAAAATTAAACCATAATGGGAAAAAATCTTCTTGGCGTCCTACTTCTCCATCTTTATAAAAAAAAATATGGAAATCTTCCAAAGGAAGAAAGAGCGCGATTGAATTCAAAATACATCCCTTTCAATTCAAACCATATATACCATAATACCATATAAACCATAATAATGTAAAATAAAGTATAAACATTTGTTTAGCATATGATATTATCACGCAGAAAATGAAACTTTTCATTATTGGTAAATAAAGAACTAACCCTATTAGAATCAAAATCATTCGTTGGGTAGAGTTAGCCACACCCTCTATTGCAAAGACCGCCCCTGTCACGCGCCCTCATTGCGGTTTGGTGATTAGGCCACATTTCGAAATTTGCGGCCAGACCATAGACACTGCTTCCGGTTTTAATTGTTATTGTTGGTTGTGTTGTAGTGGTAATTTATCGTTATTAAGGGAAAGGTACGTTTTGTAAAGAATAACAATATATTTTTTATTTTTCCCGTATATACAGAATGTATTACAATAAATCTACTGAAAGTTACTTCTTTGCATGATCTACACATCTATATGTAGAGTTACTTCTATTGACATTACCTTCCTTTTTTTGGAAGATTTCCACATTATTTTGTTTCAAGATAAAGTAGTATGAAGCCTAAAACTTTCTTTCCCAAAAATGTATTACTCCTAAAATTATAACCCTTTCAAGTTAGGTAAATCTACTGGAGTATTTTTCAGAATCCGCAATTATGAGGGTAATACGGTTCTTCTCAAAAATTTTGACATGAAATGAAATATAAGAAAACAACTATTTTGCGGAATTGGTTTTAAATATTGAAGTTATTGTTCCATATTTAGAATATGAAAAATATAAAAACCAATATAGACCAAAATTTGATTCAGCCCTGTGTGTAGACTATTTTTCGAAAATTCATTACTTTAAACTTTAAAATGTTTGTCACATCCCTAAAATATTTGTTCCGTGTTCCGTGAATTGAAAATATTAGAACAAATTACTGATATACCTTCCTTACTGAAGAAAAAAATCAATCATCCATGGAGACTCTCCAAAAATATAGAATTATTTGATCTGAATGCATATTTTGAGATAGTCGAAAATTAAAAACCGAAAAAATATAATTCTCATCTCTAAACTAAGACAAGACGAGACAAAAGACGAAAATATATTGATGGCAGCACTATTTGTACGCGAGTGGAACTATTTTCAAAAGCAATGTTGCAATTGATACCTGAAATAATATAATAATAAATTTTAACATGAATAGTCTGCACTTTTTTAAAACTGAAAGAGAATTTTGAGAGCTTTAAAACGCCCATGGCTTTTAAAGATTTTGTTATCGTCCTTGTTATCGTCCTTGTTGTGGGGTGGGAGAGGAGGATAAAAACATCGGAAAAAAGTGCCCCACTTTTATCAAAAATTGATAGGGGCAAATATTAGATTTTCTCTTTCATCTCCGAATAGGTTTTCAATGATTTACTGAATGTAATGGATTTTGTCTTCAAGTATATGAAGATGATTTAGAGATGAGCAAACGATTTAAATAAAGCTTTAGACTGTCTTATTTGTCTTTTGAATAACCTAACCTATACTAACAGTTCAATATATACTGACAGAAAAAAGAATACCCAGTATTACAAATTATTTCTATGAATATGTTTGTTTGAGTTTTTCATAAAGTGGTTTTTGTGATATCGTCTGTTTTTACAAAAAGTAAGTAAGCTGTAGTTGTGCTGTAGCTACAATTGGCATTTGATCATCGTACAGTACATTTTGAAGAACTTCTTTATTCTATTCATCAAGCCTAGAGTGAGAAGACGTGAAAATTTTCAACAGCTTGGCGAGTTTGATGAAGGGCGAATAGTGGTCCTGTGTATAGCTGATTTGTCATTTGAGAAATAATCAAGAAGGCCGTAGACGGAGAGCCAGAGGTACATGACGTGTCAGAAGAACAGCCTCTGGCTCTACGGGACCGCTTCACGTCTAGAAGAACAATTACGAACCATTGGTTTGGTTAAGAAGTTTTGAACTTACTTCATATCGTCCTCAGTTTGTCCCACTTCACACTCCTAGGCACCGTTGTGAACGGCTGACTTGGTGTAGAGAACGGCAGAACTAGGACCTCGAATTGAATACCATTGTCTTCAGTGATGAATCTAGATTCTGTTTGGTAATGCATGATGGTCATGCAAGGGTGAGGATGCGACATGGTGAAAGACAAGATCCCTAATTTGCAATGGAAAGGCATGTACACCACACTGTTGGAATTATGATATAAGGGGCTATTGCAAATGGAAGCGTGTTCATCAGAGGCAACATGTTCTGTCTCATACACGGATGCTCAACACCGGATTATTTGATGACATCACTTGAATGGAAATTTTCCTTCATTTGTAAAATAATTAATAATAAGGGGCCTCCACTTCTTCGTTGCCCCAGGACCTTCAGCCTTTCAAATCCGGCCCTGATTCTACTTCTCCAACAAGATAATGCACGATCACATATAGCCAGAATTACGTTGGCCCATTTTGAGGACAAATGAGTCTTGACCCACTAGATCTCCTGATTTTTCACCCATTGAACACGCCTAGGATTTTTGCCAACGGTTGAATTTTTCTGAGATTTTGATCAATTACTTACATAACCCCAAGATTTATATATGTATTCAAAAATTGTTGTAATACATTCATTAATACAGGATGTTCTTATTTCTATGTCACTTACTAGATATATTTAGACATGCTGTATAGGACATACATATATAATAATAGGTATTTTTGTTTGTTACAGGCTAATGATATTTAATTAACAATAATTTATATTTTCACATAATAATCAAATAGAAATAACCAACAAATAATTTTTTTTCAGCCTTCATGAAATAAGAAATGATCATCAGCAACACTATTTCGCCTACAAAACCTAAACAAAATCAACCGTCATCACCTAGAGATTTTTTTCGAAAAATTTATGGAGACTTGGACCAAAAGATCGATAAAAATGAGGTTTCATCTGGAACAAGAACTGACAAACAAGAAAGTGATCTTATCACACCTATTCCTATTCTAGCGAATCCTTTGCCATTCATTCTACCTCACGGAAGTGAGTCGCAGTTTGCTGCAGCTGCAGCTGGATTGTCAGCATTTCGTGAGTAATTGAAAAATATATTAGAATCTTCATTATTCATCAAATGAATATTTCCGAAAACTGATAATTAATCATATCTATATTCTCTTATCAATTCGATCAAACATTTGAAGAAACGTGATATATGTCAAATGTACTGTGCATGGGGAAAAATTTTCATCAACCTCATTTGAGTATTTTCAGCTTCCACAGTCTGAAAAATATGAAATTTGTAATGGAGAACTTTATACACGTATAGAAAGGGCAAAATTTTTAGTTCACTCCGATAAGTTACTGCATAAATTCATAGTATTTTTTACAAAAAAAATGTTTCATTTATCAGTAACTTTCATTTAATAATTTTGTCTATCAAAAAAGAGCTAGGTTAGGTCCAAAGGGAGTCGGTCTATTAGACCCTCTACCGCAACCCGAAAGGGTTTATTGTGGCTCACACCTATTCACACTCGATCAAATAAACCCAGCTTCTTAACGAATCCGATTAGTTTGTATGGTGAGTGGTCTTTCAGGTCAGATAGTGAGTTCGGCCGTACACGGACCACATATTTGCAGTTGAGGCAACCACAACATTGTGGCCACGTTGACTGCACTTCGCGGTCGACTTGCGGTCATATAAACCGCACTTGCAGTTGAGGCAACTGATATCAACGCGTAGCCCAATATGTACGCTGTTGGGTACGACTGCAAGTTTGTGGTTAGTGTACGGCGGATGCCGAGATGACATCTCGGCGGAGATCAGCAGCAAGTTGACTGCAGTCTTCCGACAGTCCGAGTCTGCAAATGATGATTCAAATGACAGTGGCCTACAAGAAGGCCTGTTAGACATCGTAGTTCATCCCTACTGTAGTCCAACAACTGTCTGGTATCAAGCTTCGAAGGGTGAATAAACACCTTGGAGTGAGTTCAGTGTTTGTTTGGCAAAGCCTCATTTGCAAGATTGTCAGCAGCCTCATTGCCTTCCAGGCCAGTTTGGCCAGGAATCCAGACCAGAGACAATCTGTTGAGTCTTCCTATCGAGGAGAGTCGTTTTTGGCAATTTGCTACCAATTTAGACGTTGATCGGTAGGAGCCAAGAGCTTACAACGCCGCTTGACTATCTGAGAATATTTTTATTGACTTGTGTATGGGATTGGATTCTTCCAATTTCTCCACAAACAAAAAAGAACTAAGACATTATACAATATTTATCTTAACGTCACCGTCTCCGATAGCGTCTGTTGATATCAGTCTGTTGCTATTTCGCTGCTACCCATGTTTTTCTGCAAGACGGGTAGCCCAGTACGATCCATTTCTAATTAGTTATTTGAGATACACGTCTCCAGATACTCGTATAAGAATATACGCTGATTCTTTAAGTTTACGTTTCTCAATTCATTGGCAATCACTCTCGTCTTGTTCCATTCAACTCGATGTTCACCGTCTGATTTCGAATGAATTTTTCTAATCATAAAAAAGTTTTGACTGTCAAAACTTTTGGTACCTGTTAGTACCTGTTAGCACAATAACTTCTCTGGTAGACTCAACACATGTGCTGAAAATTCCCGTGCCTGAGCTTTATTCATCAAGAGCCACACAATCATTCAGTGCAGCAATAACATTTTCTAACATTTCAACGATTTATATTTTGCCTCAGAATAGGCCTCAGTTTCATCAATAACCTCTTCATTCGATAGACATTTCTTACCAGTGAGCATTTTTTGAGGTCTGCGAATAGCCAGTGGTCACTGGGAGCCAAATCTGGGGAGTACGATGGATGTGGGAACAATTTGAAGTTCAATTGATGAAGTTTTGCCATTGTTTCGATTGACTTGTGACGCGGTGCGTTGACTTAATGAAACAATCTTTTTTCTTCCCTGTCGTCTGTCGTTTCTTTGCAATTTTGGCCTTCAATCGCTCCATCAACGCTCCAATATATTCACTGTTGATGGTATTTCCCTTCTTAAGATAGTCGATGAATATTACACTACGCACATTACAATACCGAGACCATAACCTTTCCCGAGATCTTAACCTTTCGGGCGCTTTAGACTAGGTTCACCAGTTGCTCTTCAGTCAGATGACGATTCTTTTGATTCCGGAGTGAGGTGATGGATCTCTGTTTCATCCAGTGTCACATATCGACGCAAAAATTTCGGTTTGTGTTAGGCCCGAGAATTTTCAGCTCGCTTAGTAATAGCCTGTCCTTTTACATTTTTGTTATGGTGAAAATTTTGTAATTTAAAAAGTTGGGATAAAAAGAAAAATTGTGGACTAACATAAATGCTACTGTTCAAAAATGAAAATCTTTGTTTACACCACATAGTTTGACAAGTTTTTGGTTTCTCTGCAAGCACCTGTTATATTATTTCAAAAACACAGTAAAAAATAATCACCACATCAAATTGTTTCCTGAAAATTTGGAACCTGATAATATAAATATAGATTTACGTGCTAGGTATCGCATGTTGAAAGACATGACCTCGTTTATCTTCAGCTCGGACAAGTTTCGACTTTTGAGAGTTGTCGTTAGTAGGAAAGCAACAGCTGCTTAACGGAAAAACAGATTGTTTGTTACCCACAACTTCAATCGCGTTTGGATTTTCTCAGATTTTCAGCAAAAATTTCTCATGTATTATTCCATCTCTAATTTATAAGAAAATGGATTTACAAATCACAAATATAAGTTTCAGGCAAATCAATTGTATTTTTTCCAACAAATGTTTGACATAATATATTCAACAGTGACTGTTAGTGAAGCTTACCAAAATACAGTAGTGAAAACCGCACCCAAATCGGTCAAGCCTTTTTGAGATTAGCGCGCACACAAACAGTGCGCACAGACAAATAGACAAAAATTTATATTGCACTATTAAAGAACCCCTATAAATCTTCTCCACAGAAATTTCCGTCTACCGGTAGCGATCAGTAATTTTTTTTGTATTGATATCTTACTACTGCCTTTCTGGAAGTCTTCGATGGCCCCTGCTTATGACTACATAATATGAAAATGTGCATACTTGTAGTCATGGACTACACATTTCTTCAATCGAATTAATCATGACTTACTAATTGCTATTCTGAATTATGTATGCTTCTTATAACATTCTACAAAACTCTTATCGTTATTATTATCAATTATGAATGTTCATTTCTCGCTAATGTAAGACAATACGTACCACAATGTTTGCGATATCAAACCCGATACTATTTACTCTGAATACTTCCCAACTCAACAATCATCCGAAAAATGTCTCTTTATGCCATTTTGCCGACTATAACCAAATGTATTTGGAATTAAAAAAAACAGATATTACCTGCGAAAAAATCAATGAATATCTCCATGCTCTTTTTCTTCTACCTGCAAAATGTCATGAATACATCGAAATCTGAACCAACAGAAAAAGAACGAATTTTAATATTCCCATCCAACTTGTCTCAGAGAAATGTGAATAAAATAAAACTTTTTTTTTCTAGCCATGGAACACACATTATTCAAAGAGTTTTTCTCAGCTTGGTTTCAATTCTACTTTAATCTTGATAAAATATTCGTCTGTGATGTTGGAGCATATTCTGTTGTTACGATCTTGCCCTTCTCCATTTTTGGAAAATAAAACAATTTTCGTGTCCTTTATCATAATATTAAATTTTTAATTGGTTTCAATATCACTTCGCTTAGAATATAGCGATACCATCACAAGTAAGGTAAAAAAGATTTCACGTCTTGACAGAAGTTGCAGTTAGGTAAAACAAGATTATTTTACCATATCATGAAAAGAGTGTATTTCACATAACACAAACTTTTTTTGAATCCCGCGATTTACTAAAACTTCTGACAAATGAAGAAGAAAAGTGAATTGAAACTATCTGTTTTTTACCACTTTTATTTGTAACTAACGTTACTGCAGTTTCGTCCTATGAGGACATTTTCAAACTTATACATTAAACTAACAATGATTGAGTATATTAGCCCTTATATAACACCACTGTAGGTAATAATAGAGATACTTAGCTTGATTGAGTACCTGAATTGTGTTTACTTGGACAATGTAGATATGCTAATTTGAAAACCGATGAGTAAATTAAATCGATTTGATCATTTAACAGGTTGCAACCGTAATGTTTATGCTTGTGAATTTCCAAGGATTCAAATAATTTTGTTTGCAACCCTTCCTTAGGAAACCACGAGATCAGCAAATTTGATACTACAGTCCGATTACATACTCATCAGATGATACCTCATTTAGGAGTAATCTATAAAACATTCCTTTATTAACAAAAGATATTTTTGGGTAATACAAGGATATAGAAAACACTCTGATATCATAGGCTATATTATGCTTTTCATTCAATCTTTTCATGGCAGGCATTTCGTTGGATATTTGGCAAATTCTTTTGGCATTCATTTTGCTAATCCATAAATTGCTTGTCTCCTATTATCCAGACTTCTCATTCGCATAATACATAATGAGCTATCTCTATCCCTTTTTTGCATTGTATGCAGCTAATGTGTCCATTTGCAGCTCTATTTTGGTCAGGTGACCTTCACAGGGACAGGGGCCAGTGAGAAGCCATCTACTTATTCGTTCACTCTTTGTTGAAGCGATTCTCCATTTTTTTCTGATACAGTCCCTTTCCTATGTTTGTTTCCAGTTATAGTTTCAGCCCATTACCAATGATTTTAATACCTCACAGCTGATTCCAGGCCTATAAATGGTGTTGATGATCTGTGTTTAACACGCTCATTATCTTTTTCCTGCCTGTGATTCTTGAGTGTCCTGGTTCCCAGAATAGAGTCCTGCTCTTTGTAATAACTTTTGAAGACTTTTATATGGGGAAAAACTTTGCAAACAATTTACCAAATTTACAAAACTATAGAGTTGAATCGGTCAATCTGGAACACACGATGTACCTTTACCCCACAAATGAGTTCGAAATTATGGAAACAATAAAAAAATCAAAACCAAGAAAATCACCCGGATATGATAATACCCGATCAGAAACTTTGAAAGAAGCAGCGAATGAGA